ATTAAAAGTCGAATAAAATACTACCATTGAATGCAATAATACTTGTACTACTTGTGATTGAAATGACAATGTTCTGAATATTTGAAGCTATTAAAATGCAGTCAGATAAATTGGGATTTGGAATACGTCTAAATGAGCATGTATTTAATTTTTTCAAAATCAAGAGCGTGCCATTTTAGTGGAAGCCGTATCGTATGTCAAATGAGAAAGTGAATGCAATATCGTTTTTATTAAATTAAACAAAACCGACATGAACCGGCATTGTTCAGAAAGTTAATAATATGCAGTAAGATTATTAAATAATTTAGAAAATTGTCAGCAGTTAAATAGTATACAACCTTACTTTCGGACGATGTTTATTTAAATGTTATGCCAGCGATCGAGCATCAACAACACAAAATAATTATTCGTTATGCGGGAAATTTAAGCGGGAATTTCCGGTTTCGGTCGTTTCCGGTTTCGGTCGTTTCCGGATTCGGTCGTTTCGGTTTCCGTTCTTTACAGAGACCCCGAGAAACCATGCTATTACTTATTAATAATTTACATAAAAATGTTCGAGACAATTGTAGTTTTAACTTACGCGTTTATAGCGAACATTCCACCGGCAAACTTTTCCTGGCTTTGTTATATCACATTATGCAACGCTAACAGCTTGAAAATTCCACTCAAGTATGTAATTTTTGTTAGTCTTGTTTAAGGTCACTGCTTTTCCATTTAAAAATAAAGATAAAAGCCATATTTTTCACGCGAAAGCAACTTTTACTTCACTGTAGCGCGGCGCCATGTTTGTTTTGTTTTGAAGCAATCTGTGACCGTTACTTCTTTAAACTAAATTGCTTTAAACAGATTGGTTGATTTAATCATCACAATCTTTTTCCACCAATCAGATTAGTTTGTTACAGAAAATTGCACTGTGATTACAGAAAATTGCACTGTGATTACAGAAAATTGCGCTGTGATTACAGAAAATTGCACTGCTGTTTGGGATTAACTGCACTGAAATCAACCAATCACAGTCGAGTAATATCTTTATGTATATTATTATACCAATAACTAATTAATATAGTAATGCATGGTTGCACGAATATATAATAAACTCAACACTGTTCCAGAACACCGTGTGCACTCCATTTTACATCGTTCTAGAACAGTGTTCCAAATGTTCTAGAACAGTAAATGGAGCGGCCTGCAGTAGTTTCAGCAAACGTTCAGTGAAGAAAGCCAGAAAAATGCTGATTACGAAAAAAATAACGTTTGGTGGGCGTTTCATTAAAACGTATTCCTTGAATTTCCCAGTGAATTTCCCATACATCTGGAGCGAGAAGTCGAATCCAAAAGTGAAGATGGCGGAAATAGCTGTTATCGTAATTGAATACGTCTATGCTACCGACCAGCGGTATCTGCATTTTTTTAACATCGAGACGAGGCTATAGGGTCATATTTTGTGTTTTTTGACCCTTCAGCCTCGTTTTCGTGCGTACTTCCACCGAGATACCGCTAGTTCGCCGCAGCGGCGTATTCAATTACGATAACAGCTATTGTAGAGCTATAAGCTATTGGACGTTAGTTCCAGTCCCTTTCTATTGTTTTTGTCTGCACAATTGACACGATGCTGGCAAGGAATGTACAGAAATTTGTCTTATTTTTATCTCGATTTAAAGTGCATATGACATGAAATTTCTTATTTTCTTGAATGAAAGAACTCTTTAAGCTGTAGTGTAACTTACTTTTCAGTTTCTTGTTTTTATGGTTTGTTTCCGAGATATTTCAATTTGTTTGATATGTAAATGAGTGTGAATACATGTATGTCCGCTAATTTATGACGTCACATTGGTTGCAAGCTCTTCGAAATGGTTGAATATCACTGCTATCATCCAAGATGATAACTTCAAACTTCACTCACTGGTAAATGTGATGAAACACTGGAGAAAAACATGAACTGGTATCTACAGTTTTTAGAGTTAATAACACTCAGTCATTTACATATCAAACAAAATTACAAATTGAAATATCTCGGGAACAAACTATAAAAACAAGAAACTGAAAAATAAGTTACACTACAGCTTAAAGAGTTAGTTCATTTAAGAAAATAAGAAATTTCATGTCATATACACTTTAACGAATAATACTATCGTTTTATGAACTGATAACTTGTTTAGCGATACGGTTCGTTAGAAATGGAATTACCTGGGAAAATGGTATTGACACTGTTTACGACCTACAGAGCTGTTGGACGACAATCTCCGCCATCTTCACTTTTCTCATAGGCCGAATGACTAGATAGATAGATAGATAGAAAACTTTATTTAAACACACTGACCCCGTCAACCGAAGCTGATTTCCACGAGGGGCATGCGAAAAGTATACAGAGAATAATTTTAAAAACTATTTACAAGATATGTAGTGTTAAATTATATAAGATATATAGTATTACATGAACTAACAAAATTAACTAAAGTAATAATCTATTTACAGGTATATTAACATCTATATTTTCAATTAGCTATCAATCTGAGTAGCAATTTTAATTCATCAATGTGAGTAGCGATTTTCTTTCGAAAGGAAGAAAAGGATTTGCTCTTTCTAATTTCTTTAGGAATAGAATTCTAAAGGTATGCTCCGTCATACAGAAACTGTTTTTCATATTATTAGTACGCGGTTGTGTTAAACAAAGACTACTTGAAATGTTCCGAAGTTTGTAGTTTGTCACCTTACCTTTATACGTGAAGAGATTAGTGAGTGATTTTGGTCCCATTTTATTCAATAATTTGTACATGATTTGCTTTACTTTTCTTCCTTTCTGTTTTAAGTGGCTTCCAACCCAATGCTTGCAATGCAACAGAATGATCTGTGTCATTGCTCATATTCATAATCCGAGCAGCTCTGTTTTGTAGTTTTTGTAGTCTTTTCGGTTGCGTTTCTCCAAACACATCCCATACTTTACAGCAGTAATCAAAATATGGGCGAACAATAGCATTATATACAGAGAGAAGTGTTTGCTTATCAGCAAATTCTTTTAAACGTCTAAGAACCGATATTCCGTATGTTATTTTCTTGCAAATATTCTCAATGTTAGTTTTCCAAGATAAATACTGGTCAATTGTCACTCCAAGAGTTTTAGATTCATAAACTTGTTTAATTGACTTGTTTTCAATTTTCACATTTAGTTGCAAATTTGAAATACTTTTAATAATTTGTTTTGAACCAATTAACATAAACTCAGTCTTAGCAATTAGCCATTTCCTAAGTTTTTCCAAATTAGAATTGACTGCAGTTTCAAGATCAGTAATAGAGTTTCCAGAAACTGTCAAGTTAGTGTCGTCCGCAAACAACCGAGGTTTTATTTTATCCAGGCATTGAGGCAAATCGTTAATATATAATAGAAAAAATAGTGGCCCTAAAATAGAGCCTTGTGGTACGCCACATTTGATCAATTTCTCTGATGAAAATGACCCTTGTATTTGGCATTTTTGGTTTCTATTTGAGAGATACGATTCTAGAAAAGATAGAGCTTGCCCTTTTATTCTGAAGTTCTTCTCTAGGTATATACGTATATACAGAGAGAGAGGCCTGACTGGTTCTGCCTGACCCAAAAATACGGATTTCCTGCGAAATTGACGCACAAAATTGTGGTCTTGAAACTCGGGTTTAAACCGATTATCTCCAAATTTTGAAACAACTTAACACTCATTAATAATTCATGAAGAAAATTCAAAAGAAATGAATGTTTAATTAATCAATGTTTGTAAATCGAATAAAGATTTGTCCTGATTTACATAAACTTCAGCTTTGATTTTCTCGGCTTATAGACAATGTTTATTTTAATTTAAAATTACTTCGCCAATAACTCATAAGATGGGTCGTCTTTTAAGATCGGCTGCTCATGTTTTAACTAGTACTTATTCCAAGTTGGTCGGTAGCTGCACCTTTTTTACCATTTATTGTTTTATAGTGATTTCAATTAGGATCATCATCATATAGTATACACAGCATATCAAAAGAACCATTAAAGGGATATGGCAATATATTTTTTATTATTTCATTTGGAAGAACTTTTAAAATTTTATGGTAATCTCTTTTACCGATTTTGCGTAACTTTATTATTTTTTGAGATATTTGAACAGAAAAAATCACAAATCAGCGAGCTTTCCGCCATCTTAGATTTTGGCGGATATGCATGTGACATCATAAGCAGGGTCACGCAAGAATTTTATCCATGGAGCAATTGGTTATTATGAGCCCAAAATCACATACTTCAGTAACTATTTGAAATAGAAAACTGAATGACGACTTTTCAAACAAGACATAATGTTGTTTGGTCATTTAGATGTAGTTTTATATGGCTAACCCTGCTTATCACGTCACCAAAATCACCGACAATGAGATAAACATTAATCCAGGATGGCGGACAGCAAATTATTTTAAGTCAAATTATTTCAAGAAATAATAAAGTTACGCAAAATCGGTAAAGGAGATTAACATATAATTTTAAAAGTTCTCTAAAATGAAATAATAAAAAAATATATTGCCGTATCCCTTTAACAAAAAAGAAAGCGACCGCACACATTTTTGTTACTTTAACCTTATACTTATGAAATAAATCTAGTATTATATAGAAATTGATGTAACTATAAATTATGTAAAAATATTAACCATGAAACTGCAAGGCCAGCGATAAAAATGTTTATGGGAATAAATATTGTTCAAAATCGTCAGAACGAAACGCTTACTTTACAGCAAAACTATATAAAATATATCTTAAATTTTCTGTTCGCTATACTGTTCTAAAACCATTTATTAAAATTCATTTTGAGTTTTAAAATATAACATCTCGAAATTTGCAGGCCAAGTTGCGACTCGGATTGTGAATGAACAAACTGCTACACGAACCTCGTCGCCTATCAGCTCTTATACGACTCGAGTTCAGTTATAATTGTTAAATATATGTGAAACTTAACATGTACATGTTTGTTATCTGACAGTTATATCTGACTATTTAATTTTAGGTATCGGCAATTCTGGTGGTGATATTGCAGTTGAATTAAGTCGTCATGCGAAGCAAGTTTACCTCAGCACTAGACGAGGGGCATGGGTACTTTCCAGGCTTGGTGATGGCGGAATGCCTGTTGATATGGTGTTGGGCACAAGATTTTTTAATTGTATTCCAAAGGTATTGTCCGGCCCTGTTCTGGCATCAAAGATCAACAAACGATTTTGTCATACTACATTTAGCTTGAAACCCAACCATTCTCCCTATGCCCAACATCCAATGGTTAATGATGCATTACCCCATCAAATTATTACTGGTGCTTTGATTGTGAAACCCAATGTGGCACAATTCACAAAGGACGGTGTTCAATTTGATGACGGATCAACTGTGAACAACCTTGATGCTGTGATTTTTTGCACTGGATACGATATGAGGTTTCCTTATCTTGAAATTGAGGAAGAAGTTGTGTTGAAAAATGAAGTAAAATTGTATAAGTATGTTTTTCCTCCTTCCCTGAAGAAACCCACATTGGCAGTGATTGGAAATATTCAACCTTTGGGTGCCGTTAATCCGATTAGTGAGTTACAAGCTAGATTGGCTTGTCGTGTCTTTGGAAGGAAAGTCCAATTACCCAGCCAGGAAGATATGGAAATGGATATTTCCAGGAAACGAGAGGCAATGAAGAAACGTTATTATGATACAAAACGACATACAGTCCAGGTAAATGGGTATCATTCAAGCTTGTAGATTTTATTTTTGTGGGGGTAGCCAATATTTTTTATGGAGGTATGCATGTGGTCTTTTAGAGACGACCAAGCGAACAAAAAACTGATAACCTGGGGATGAGAATGCATCCTGGAATCAAACTACAACTGGTGTGCAACTCAGGCGGACCCTTCCCCCACCCAATAGACGATTCCCCTTATTACGTTTTCGTAGCGCTTTGCATTGTGGTTATAGTGGTATCACTCACATTCAAGATGGCTTATTTTTTGTTCTGACCCGTGGAAGAACTTTTAAGCTAGGGTCAGGTGCGTGATGCCAACAGCAAAATATTCGCGAAAACGTTCAATATTTTCATTCGAGGCCGCTATCTTTATCAGTGATACCACTATAACCACAATGCAAAGCGCTACGAAAACGTAATAAGGGGAATCGTCTATTGTAGCTCTTGGATTTGGTTCAATAGCTGTAGAGTTGACCGTTTTGGAGTTGACCTCGCTGTACATCCAGAATTCTTAATCGAAAGTTTTTAAAGCGCATATTTTGATACTTGAATTTGGAGCTTGCCTCTTAGGCTATGGAGGTAGGGTCGCTTCATTGTCCCCTGACGTAATAGTATCGTTTTTAGGTTAAGGTAGACACTGGTCAATGTGCAAAAGGCTATACATGTGTATAGTTGAGTTTCATTAGTTGTTGCATGGTGGTCAACGTCACAAACGTTGGAATTTTTACATGTAGGAGTACTCAAGTTTTTCTACATTTCTTAATTCTCTTTATTTGTTTTCAAGTACTATTGTCAGTAATGAAATGTTTCTCATACACAGAGCTTTGTGAAACCTTTCATTACATGCACGGATTGTGCATGCATATAAATCCAAAGTGAGACAAGGTTTGATTTAAAGTCGATTCATTAATATGCATACGGATTGTGCATGCATATAAATCCAAAGTGAGACAAGGTTTGATTTGAAGTCGATTCATTAATATGCTGAACAGTTTCTCATACACAGAGTATTGTGAAACCTTTCATTACATAGAGGACTGACGGATTGTGCATGCATATAAATCCAAAGTGAGACAAGGTTTGATTTAAAGTCGATTCATTAATATACATACGGATTGTGCATGCATATAAATCCAAAGTGAGACAAGGTTTGATTTAAAGTGAATTCATTAATATGCTGAACAGTTTCTCCTACACAGAGCTTTGTGAAACCTTTCATTGCATAGAGGACTGACGAATCTGTCAAGATATGATGGTCTGGAAACCCGGCAAACTTCAAAACTACAAAATAGAAGGCCTTTGTTTCATGTTGAACTGTACCTCACCATGCTCAAATCCTTTGTCCCAACTTCATGAAATATTATTCATCGTGGTTGCACGTTTCATCTCAGCTGTCCTTATTGAACGATTACTTCATTATACAAAAAGACAATGAGCTCAATCACCGTGACCGTGCAAAATTAACATAAACTCAGACAAAAACGTAATACAATGACTTCTGTTTAGTTTCCAGACCATACTATGTGCTGAACTGTTTTCAAACCCATGCAGGGCTGAGCTGCATGCTAGCTATAGGTGATGTGCAACCACTCCCATGGGATTCGAAGGACAAAGCGATTTTCGCCATCTTAGATGAAATTTGCATTGCAAACAAGCAAAATCCTTGTCAATGTCATCCAACATGGCGACGGTGACATAACTTGCACATCACCTATTGCGATGCGAGAACACGAAATTTACACAGTTGGAATATAGTTTAACAGGATATCTCATACTACCAGTCTTAGAACTTGATCAGTTCTAAGATTTGTAATTACATGTTCTTCAATGAAACGAGTTTGCTATATTCGATATATCTATGTGATACGTTACACGATCCGCAAATACAAAATTCACCTGATTTGCATAAAGCTTGTTCCATTTTCTCAATAGAAATAGCTTTTTCTCAAATAACGTCTTGAAAATACAACTATATTTGGATTCGTGCGTTCCACAACCTACATACAGGCTACAGCATTGGTATCCTAATTGTATCAGACATAACAACCAATCGGTTTTAACTAGTATTTGTATACTCTGATACAACACAGCCGGTCAAGCTGTATACATTAAGTACCACCTCCACCCGAAGCTTCTGCAGTCTGCACAATACAACAGACAGGTTTGAAGAAAAATGGCAATAAAAATTATGCTTGTCTAGTTTGAAAGAGTGTTGAGAATATTCAAAAATTAAAATATCTTAATTTTCTTAGATATTTGGAAGCAAAACATCCCACCATCCGCCGTCACAACCAGGGCTCAAAATAACGGCTGATAGGTCCCAGGTCAAAATGACCGGTGAGCTTGATTTTAGCTCGGTTCAAAATCTGTTTTTGACCAGTCACTAATATACGCATATACTAGTAAGTGAATCACCGCCTAGGTCTACTTCGTAGGATTAAACACCTGCTACCATTTAATGCACGAATCCTTTTTTATAACAGTCTCGTACTCCCAATCTTTGACTATGCGGATGTTATATGGGGAGCCAAAAATAATATACAGTGTTAATGAACAATCTTCAGATACTCCAGAACAAAGCCGCCAAGATTGTTTTAGACCATTTTTTTTATCGGCAACAGACGCGTTAAACACTTTAGGCTGGACCACTCTTATTTGTTTATTTGTTTTTAAAGCCCCATTTACACTACGCTCAATTTTTGGTACGGCACGGATAAAATTGGTACCCGTACCACTTTTTTGGTTCTTGGACTACCTATTTGGCTAAGCCCCGTTTACACTATGCTCAATTTTTGGTACCGTACCACTTTTTGGTTCTTGGACTATCTAAATAGGTAGTACCAATTTTATCCGTGCCGTACCAAAAATTGAGCGTAGTGTAAACGGGGCTTAAGTGTCTAAATAATCATACCTCACATGGATTTGAACTTCTAGCGAACAGAGAAATACAATACACAAACTACAATGCACGATATAAGGACAATTTAAGGCCACCTAAAGTGTCAAGGAATTGGAGAAAGCAAAGACTCGCTTATTTGAACTTTCCCTCGTATAATTTTGTAATATTTTTTATAGTTATGTATGCATGCATATGTCTTCCTTGTAAAATAGTTTATTTAGTTCAGGACCTTTCTGAAAATCACTTTGTGAGAAAGCTTCCTGAAATTAAATATTAATTTAAAAAAACACACAAAAAAAACAGTGAAACAAATCGTAAGAATTTGTTTCGAGACATTGCTTTTATTGTTTAACGTTTTAAACGCTCAAGACGTTAGCAATCACATTGTATAAAGGTGAATAGTCAAGTTTATCATCGTTAGTGGTTACTATAGCTCTTTCGGGGAAATCTTTATCATGTGGGTTGACCAACACAAACAGAATTTAACTGTTGATGCATGAGCCAAGCGAATTATCAATAAATTGTACAACAAATACCTCTATCCGATTAGGGGTTGCAATAAGTAAATAAAATTTTGTTGAGTAAACAACCTATAGCTAATTACAACACTTAAAATAAAATCGAAACCTTTCCAGTTCAACCAGCATGCAATTACTATTTAGTTATACGTTTTGTTCAAGAACAAACGATGTTTTTGTCGTACGTAAATTGACGTTCTTGTGGTGTAATGCGTATACATGCCATGAAATACACAGTCTTTCTCTGACAATATTCAGCAGATATGCTGAGGAGAAAAAAACGATTTCTAATAATAATAATAATAATAATAATAATAATAATGATTTATTAGCGATTCCAAATTGAATTGGCTCTTCTATCACTAAATTAACTAATCTACATTAACAAATACTATATTTACAATGAGTAGCTATGAAGAGTTAATACATCTATACAGTACATTCACACAGTCACAGTACATATTTCACAAAACAGATGTAACAAAACATAGTCATTTATACACCGGCCCGAGCCTCTCGTGGGCCAAGTCTGTGAGATAGACTTTCACACTTGTTCCAAAAATGTTGAAATCTTTGCAATTTCGCAAACTATCTGGCAGAGAGTTAAATGCAGCTGAAGGAAAATGGGGCCGGGCAACTGACAACCGTTGACCGCCGTTATTTTGAGCTCTGAAAACTAAAAAATAATATCAGCGGAAATCTTATACATGGCTTGTGCTTTAGTTTAAAATCGACACGAGTAAAAAATAAGATTTAGCATTAAAATAACTTCAGAATTGCCCAAGATACAAAATAATTTTACTCCGGTTGTGACTTCACGCATATCCAAGATGGCGGAATGCATGATGATTTTGTTTGAAATGAAGGGTAATACCTTTTTATACCAAGAACGATAAAGAAAATTGTAATAAGGTTTTGAAATAGATCCAATCTCCCTTCCAAGTGCGAGAAACCTGAGATGAAACACACTCCAAAGTCCAAATATTAACATCTTGTAAGTTCAAGATTCGACCTATTTAAACAAGGCAACAAAGTCATTGTCATGCACCTATCAATGTTTTCCCCCTGAGAGGGGGGTGCGGGCAACCCAGGGGAATTTTGACATTTTTAAAATTTTGTAGTCAAAATCCCCACTGTTGGGCAAGGAACGGCTGCCAAAATTCCCCACTATATTCCTAAGATAACAAGGCACTCGTATGTTTTCCAATGCGAACATACAGTCTAGTATGTTTTCCAATGCGAACATACAGTCTATACTGCTTTAAACTTGGTAAAAATTGAGACATTGTGTATAAAATACCTTTTTCGATGAAACTTGATCTTGTTTCTCCGCTATACTTGTTACCAGGCCTTTTAGTGTCAAAACCGCGCAAACTTTCAAGATGGCGCATGTCAAAATTTCCCGACTCTGGGAGTTGATGCATAGGTCAAATTCCCCTCGCTGGGTCTTCATAGTGTGGTCAAAGTCGCCTGGGTCGTCCGCACCCCCCTCAGAGGGAAAACAATGATAGGTGCATCAAACCTAACTCAGCACGCTTGTAAATAGTTAGGTTTGAGAATGACTTTGGAATAAAGTCGAAATATTACCTTGAATTTTGTTGTCTTGTTAGCTTGTTAGCTCATATAGCTTGAATCTTGAGTTTATACAAGATGTTAATAGTCGGAATGTGTTATGATTCGGTTATACAAGTGTATGTTAAAATTTATAAATCTGTGACTTGACATTTTGGGGAGGCAATATTTTGCTTAGCGGATTGCATTCACATTTGTTCTTACTGGAACAGTCTGAGAACTTTTTAAATTTTCTCAAATCTGGTCGTAAGTGGCTAAAGTATAAAATGGCTAAAGTGGTTCAAGTATAAAATAACTGTAATGCATGCACGGACAAACTGAAACGATGCTAGGTCTACATGGTTTCCGTGAACGAGTAAACTTTAAAGAAGTGTTGGAGGCTCATCTATATTTTTTGCTTTTCAGGTTGACTTCATCACATATTGTGATGAGCTAGCTGAGATGATTGGATGCAAGCCCAACCTGACGAAATTGTTCCTTAGTGATCTACCACTTGCTCTGAAATGTTTCTTTGGTCCCTGCACACCCCCGCAATATCGCTTGATGGGACCTGGCTCGTGGGTCGGGGCAAAAAAGGCCATCGAGAAAGCTCACAATAATGTTATTTATGCCACAAAAACAAGAGATACCAAGCAACCCTCCAGTTCGTCAGCAATTACGGTGGCCATGATTGTCGCAATTATCTTAGCAATGATTGTAATAACTTGTCTAGTAAATTAAGAAGGCTAATGTGAATTGGCACCTTGTATTAAATTTATCAGACATGACAGGGGAAGACTATTCGGCACTCAGTTAATGCAGTGACGTCACGCCGAAGGTTGATCGCAAAATGTCGTCGTCTACATTTATTTCGTGGTACGCGCGAGAACAGCTCACTCTGTGATTAAATGCCCGGCATTTATTATAAAAGAGCCTACATGTCGGATTAATGATATAACAAGACGCTCCATGGAGCGTTAAGTCGCTGGGACGATGGGAATATGCAACTTTAAGTACAAGTATACCACAAAAGAAGAGCGTGTTTGTTTTTCCGAAACCCCTTTCCATCTTGTCTGGCAGTTAGTGCTAATAGTTAAAACAAGTACAACCATGTAGCAATGTTGTTTAAATTAGCCTTTCTCACGAAGACGAATATCCGCCATTTTTGGGTGGCATCTAATTCTCGTTAACCAATGCAATCGTCAACCATTTACAAAGCAAATTTACCATTATTCGTCCAAATGGAGTTTTCTCGCAGTCCACATGGACTTTACTATTACAAGTAAATAGCGAAATTTTGCACGCTATTCCATGGTCGCCATTTTGATTTCGCCCAAAGGGCAAATTTAGAGTCGTTGAGCATCATAGGTGGTCCCACCGACTAAAAAAGCGTTTTCTACAACAATTTTAAACGAGCTGGTTAGTAGCTTAGCAGTTAAAGTGTTGGAAACTCGGCTGCTAGGCAAAATCTATAACCCCTTGTTTCCACATTTTTGTAGTTTTGAATAACAGAGTCATCTGGTTTTGGTCGGTGTCATCTGCCGAGCAATGTGTTGAATCATACATATAGTATTGCCACTCCTTTTGCACAAAGGCGAAAAACGTGAAAAAATTCGTGAACTTCTTCAAGTTCCACCCCGATCAGATCACATCGCTCAGTAGGTGACATTGTGCCTTTAAAATATCTTATTTCGTTTCGATCAACGATCCAACATTTACGTGATGGAAAGTTTTGCGCGTACGAAGAGCAACCGAGAGTTTGTCGAACTTCTCCGATGAATCTTCGGTGTGACGTCATTACATCAAGTTAGTGCGGAATACTCTTACCCATGATCTAAATGCATTGTATTCGGCAATCTGCATGTTAGGTACGGACTATTGAACAATAAGAAAAAACGCTTAGTGCAAGAAGATTAAATAGGTTATAAGAATTTTCATATATCGAAAGAAGAGTACAATCATGAGTTGATTGTTAAATATACCCTATAAATATTCTAGTTAATTGTTATGAAAAACCTGTATTGTATTCAAATGTTATTAAATTGTTCAAGAGAAATGCTTTTGTTTCCTTTAAAATCATGGCGGGTAAAAGAACAACGAAGCTACAGGTTTTGCGCTACACGATTCAAGGATTCAATATATGTCGTTATTTCGTGACGTCATTGGGAAATTTCCGATTGGCAATTCTCGCGTTATTACGATGATGTGTTTTTATGTACGTTTTTATCCATAAATGTTTTCAGTACACCCTTTCGATAATTACGTCACAATTACACTGTTTTCAACTTAGGACCACCTTAAATGGAAAGATCTCAAGTTTTTTTTCTCATGGGCAATGCACAGAGAAGCAGAACATCCTCCTCCTTCAACACGTCATGACCTGGAGCCTCGGTTCCGTGTTAATGTTTATTTCCATATTTATTGATCAAAATCCAAAAATGTTTTCATGCATGTGTTAAAGAAGGATGTTCTACTTCTCTGTGCATAGCCCATGAGAAAAAACAACTTCAAAGGCTTTCCATTTAAGGTGGTCAAAAGTTGAAAACAGTGTAGGTGTGACGTAATTATCGAAACGGTGTATTGCACCACGACCTGCGCGAATCAAATGCCGCATGTCTTCGTGTTGTAGAATGCTTGTGTAGATGGGAATTTCTAGTGTGAATTTTATACATTTATTACACCTAACCAGGGGCATTTGCGAAAAATGCAACTATAGAAAAATGCAACAATTTCTACCAGAGGACCTTGTGCTGCATTTTTCGCAGTCGTTCCTGGTTAGGTCTTAAAATGTATATATACTCACTTGGATTACAAACCCTAACATTCTAATATTAATTCCACCAAGTGAAGTGCAAGAATACAAATCATTGAAGTCCAACTATAGTATAGGCTCTTGCGCGACTGCTTAGGTGTAATAAATGTATCAACAATATAACTTACTGTATCTACAATGCGATATCGATATGGCGTTTTTCATTGACCGAGTTATTAGATAGCTTAAGATCTACGACGTCGACGTCAGCTAGGACGCCAGAGCTAAGCAGAAGACTGGGACTAGGACTTCGTCCTAAATAAGTCGATAGCTCAAGGATCTAAGACGTCAAATATTTAGGGCGGCAAGCGGAAGTAAATTGGTAATAGTTTTTGAAATGTGCATGTGTCTCTCTCAATTTGCTCGTCGTCCACCAAACGTCGACAACCTCACAACAAGAGTTTTACTGTCGTAAATACAAGATCATAACAAACGGTAGTGGATTCACACGTCTCTTTTAAATTCATTTTCAAAAGAATGTAATATTTATAGTTTAAATGTCTTCGTCGTGAAACTTAAGTGGAAGTTTTTTATTTAGGACGACGTCCTAGTCCCAGTCCTCTGCTTAGCCCTGACGTCCTAGCTGACGTCGTAGATCTTAAGCTATCTATTAGCTTTCGCATTTTCCACGCGCATGCAACAATTACTGAATTCACATAAAGCGACTGAGGACGAGGCCGCAAAAATGTAAGGATATTTTTTAACAAGGTCAACATTGGATATACGATAGCCTGCGAGCAGGCTCTCTGAGGAAAGAGAGCCTGCACGGATCCCTATGATGATTGCGTGCATGCGTCCAATATTTGGACGCAGAGCTCTGATTGGTTGATAACTGATTCATATGAAGTGATTGACAAGCTTCCATAAACTTGCACTTCCCGTTTGTATTTTGATCCTGGTTGACTTTTTACTGTAAAGTAATATAGTATTCATATAAAGACGAATACTAAAAGATTGCATGCTTTATTGTGTCCTTGGCTTGTCTGACTCCTAGGCTAAGAATAATTCTTGAGAAAGACTGCACAAATTCGCAAACCGAAACCTAGGGACAAGGCATTATATCGCTTCTCTTTTATGAAACAATATTGGGAATTATTCTGATAATATTCAGTGCATATTGTGTGTATTAAGCTTGTTTTACAATGTTATACTGACTATTTAATATTTATAAGTATGCGGCGTTAAAATGTACAGTAATTTACTCGTCACTTTGTTTACAATAATTATCGCATGCATGTTTACTGCAATTCCACTTTTTGTTGCAAAATTTGAACTATAAACATATTAAATTATGTCCAATGTCCATGGTATATCATATATGTCTATGTCTCGCCAAAGCCATAAATTTCAGTAAGTTATATTATTACTATATATATAGACTGTATACAGTGTATATTATACAAATAATGAATGTTTATGAGTGCAATGGTAAGAATATTTTCATGAGGTGAAAGATGGAATGTTCCATTCAACGAGGCGACAGCCGAGTTGAATGGAACATTCCATCTTTCACCGAATGAAAATATTCTTACCATTGCACGAAGAAACATTCATTATTTGTTTTATATAATACCAAAAGTCCAGAACAGACTAATAGATTCGTATGAGAAGCATTTTGAGGGATGCGATTTATCGAAAACACAAAGAGTGCAATTGTACTATACGTTTTATTCCATTGCACTCGCGGAGAGTGCAATGGAACGCGCTCCATTGCACTCTTGGGAAATGGAATTTTCTATTCAATATCACGTGACCATAAACAGCCAATTAAACGATTAGAATTTAATAAGGTATTATATAATATATATTGCAGCACGAAGCAATTCCAAATAACTGAATTGGTTAGCGGGTAATATACAACTTTAAACTTACTGTGCCTACAGGAGAAACACATGCAGATTGTAATAAAAAGTACAACTTGATATATTACTCTGTAAAACCTCGAGCCGTTTTAACTTTTTTAGTATGCCACAGTGGCGGTCTGTATACGAAACTATTAACGAATTTGAAACGAATCGGTTTTATGTTTACAATATCGTAGTGTATTCCGGTCTGCGCTGATTGGTTGTTATTAATTGACCTGTGACATCATAATTGAAGGGCGGCACGCAATCATCATAGGGATCCTTGCAGGCTCTCTTTCCCCAGAGAGCCTGCTCGCAGGCTAGATATACGATAATATATTGAATCAATGAAGAGCAAATTAACACCATGGAAAATTTTCAAATACGCACTAGCAAATATATTTACGATTTGCCCTCATTTTGCGACATCAGCTACAACCACAGACTTAAAATGCAATACACCCTTTTCATAAATGGCTGCCGATTAAAAATTCTTTTATGTGCATATAAATTGGTCCAACTAGCCTCGTACTCATGTTAAGATTTCAAAAAAGAATTTCTACTCAGAAACGAGGCTAGTTGGACAATTTATATGCACATAAAAGAATTTTTAATCGGCAGCCATTTATGAAAAGGGTGTATAAATACGATATCTCTGTGTTTATGATCTAGGAGACATGTTCTTTTTCTCATCGATATAAATAGGGACTAATAATAGTTTAGACGACCGGCCAACATTATGAAAGATACACATTACACACTGATGGCATTTTTGGTTACAACCATTTGGCAATGGCATTTTCTCGTAGCTTACACATTGATAAACAATACTATATACGTTGGCTTTATAGCTGAAAATTTGAAAATCTGTTCAAGGAACTTTTAAAATTGGCAAAATAGTGACTTTTAGCATCAATTAGCGCATATTTTTTGAATATTTTAAAGCTCAAAATCGGCTACGAAAATCATACTACTCTAGTGGTATAGTTTATCTTTGTTATGACTTGTGAACTTGAAATTTTGCATTTTTTTTTCATCATACTAGTAGTATAGGCAAAATTGTCAAATTTCCATCTATAAATAAAAAAATAGAGTTGCCAATACATCTTAGTCTTCTTCATTAATGGACATGCTCTACGAAAATGTCAGTTGGCAGCTTGTAACAGATTTTGTTGCACGTTTTCAGGTTTTGGCCGTCCGTCTAGTTCATGTTCTCAAAATTTACTGCTTGTGAATAATTCATTAATAGACATGGCTGCACCAACAGCAGCATCTCCATCTGCGCATAACACAAATTCCTGACCAAACACTTCCTGGACATTTTCCTGCAATATTGTATTCTGAAGCAATGCATTGCCAGTTCCAACAAGTTTCTTAACTCCATATTTTTCGAAAAAGCCGCCCATCATTGATTGGATGTTGAGCAATAGACCAAAACAAATGGAATTATAAATATTTCCAAGAGACAAAGAGTCGGGCAAGATATCCTTGACAGAGGCTTTTTGGTTTGGATCATGTCGTTCTCCCCATAGTACAGGATTTATTGTAAGTTTAGGAGCACATTTATCATGAATCCCACAGGCAGCAAGTCTATCATAAATGTATTTGTCTGACGGCGATTCAAGTCCCAAATCATGTAGCCAACTTTTCAATGTTTTCACAAAAAATGCCAACACATTTCCACCTATGAAGAAAAGAATATTGTAATGTACACTGTATCTGTTACTTTTTTATGTTTTGAGGGCACGAAAAGTCTTGGCTAACCAATGGCATTGGCGAAATTCGTGTTTCGCTTCGTGTCGAGCGGACAAATTCGCGTAGCTAGGCCATAGTGAAAAACAGGCTAGACACCGGACGTATTTCCCATTAGAATATATAGTGTCGTTTTCAGCCCTGATATTTCATAAGATTTAGAATACCTCAGGAAAGTTCGAACCGAACTGAACATGGTAAAACCTAAAACTTCAACATATACGTTCTGAGTTGCTGAATATAGGCAAACGAACATTGTGATGATATTCCAGAAAGACAACATTCAATATTATATACCTCTCGTACAGCGGTTTCCACACCATAAATATAACATAAATATAGTGCTATGTGGACTTGCACGGTACTGGCGTAGGAATGTGTTCATTTCTTGTTCCCAATTATTTTTCTCAAGATGGGCTGTATACCCGATTGCTTTTTCGAGTGTTCGCATAAAGCGTTCGACCTCGCCGTTCGTTTGGGGCCAATAAGTAACTTTTCGATGCTCGAATCCAAGGAAAATTGGAACAATCACACACCGATTCGACGACTTTGGGTATTCCTTGTCTAGAGAAAATAATATCGAGTTTGGGGATAACGGAGTTGGCAGTTGTGGAGTGGAGGATTTCGACTTCTGAAAATCTGCTGAATTCGTCAATGGCCCGAGAGAAAAGAACCAACGAAGTCAAATAGCGATTTCATTCCACGGTGATTTTGGGATGGTACCCTAGTGTCGCTGCTTGGCATGGAATACAGTTTTTGATTCTCGCTTGAACCATCCTATCAATCGAGGGAAATCAAACCTTTTCACGTAACAACCACTTGGTCTTCACTATTCCCTGATGAAAAACCAGACGTGTTCCTCGGAGGATTAAACCATCGCAAACGGAAAACTCATCCTTAACATTTGAAAACAACTGGATTTCTGGATCAGACAAGTGATTGGTTTCGATTGCTTGTGACGTTTATAGAGTGTGGAATCATTTTACGTTTCTTTCTTGACTTCTGTTAAGGTCATATAGCTTTTCGGAATTATGTTGTTGCAAAGGTAGTTGAGTTATTTTCAGCGATATTATCTGGGAATGAGTTAGCATTATCTGGATGACGGCTTATAAAGTCGGCAGGATTGGCATTGTCTTTTCCTAACGATCTTGCAATGGCATGGCATGAATCTCAGTTTCTATCGGTCGATTCTGAGGGAGGTATAAGTTTACGACTCTTGAAGATTCCAAGCAGAGGTTTATGATCTGTGATTACTCTGAACTTCGCACCATATAGATAAAGATGATAATTTATTTATTTAAATCGATGTATTATAGGACAAGAGGTAAGAGTGCAAACTCAAATTAAGTCCCATGCGAGGCACTTCCCCGTTACAAGCTATGAACATTTCCTAAAATATTTCCGTTAATAATAACTGTGAAAAAAATTGGCAATTGCTTGAGTACCAACTAACTCTCAAAACTGCACAAAATTTCAAAGCTCGAATAAGAGTTTTTGGATTCAGTACTGAATGAGAATCAAAACTACTTTCAATTAAGAATGTGAAAAAACATTGAAAGTGAAACACAAGCAATATGCAGATGTTTTCTTCGAAATTAATTCCTATGACATGAACAAGTTCGATGTAATGACCAAGCATATGCACATTAACAATAGTAGTAATTAATTTTAAGTACGTTCTTGACAGAAACGATTCAAACATAATTAGACTATGAAGGTCTGCAGACAAGGCTGTTTACACACACAGTTCAGAAAGGGACGATACAGTCAAAGAATAATAATTTTCAGTTGCCCAGACAACTGCGAGCATCTCTCCTTCTGTTTAGGTGTATCGAGTTTCGACATTCGACAGCGCACGGTTTTACCATCTTGCATTAGAATAGCTCCTAGACCGTGGGCCTTCCGTCAACGAGCAATTTGGTGGGCTTCGTTGAGTCGAAACGGTTAAGGTACGTAATGGGGCAATAATGGTGGCATAATTTGGAATGAAACGTAAAACGAACTGTGCCACATCAAGGAGGGACTTCACTTCGCTTGGACTTTCTGAAGGTTGCATGGTCAAATACCATTGATCTTCTGAGGCGCAGCTTTGATTCCATCAGCGCTGAAGGAGTGTCCATAGAAGATCACTTTTGACTTACAGACGGTACATTTGCCTCGGTTAGGGCGGGCATTAGGTGCTGTCTTTACATCTCGCACATCACAAAGAGGCGATTTTTTTAGGTACTGTGTTGATGATTGTTTTGGACGGTGAACATATATAGTGGGATTCCTCTGTTGGAGTTTGAGTGACCTGACGGATCTCTTGTCTTTTGAGTTTGAATCTACAAAAACCTTGGCAAACTGGCCACGTTTCCCACATGCTCTGCATTCTTTGCCGTTTGTGGGACAGTCACCGGTATGTGGAAAAATTCGTTACGACATTGCTGAGTTGAAGGTCGGGGTGTTTTGTGATTTCTTTGTTGCCAGGGTGCTTGGATCTACTTTGTTGATGTAGGATTTATGGGTGACGACACGCCTTTTTCTACAGCTGCGGCTTTTGTTTTGCTTCGCTCTTGTGCTCTGCTGTTGGTTAGTAGATCTTTCAGACTTGGGTTGTCACACAAATCTTTCCTTCGTAAATATATTTTATATATTTGTTATATTTGTGTATTTACTACTTTATCGATGCTGGCGAACTCACATATTTGAGCGAGTCGTCTTACGCACGTACACGCACGTAAAACTTTGAATCCTTCTATTTTTAAAATATTTTACAAATAAGTTACACGCATACTAAAACTTGCGGAACACTAAATTCTGTCGCTTTATTTATTTGGTTATTTCATAACTAACATTTAAACGGATTTAAAGTTTTACGTGCGTATACGTATGTATGAAAAACGCAACAGTGGAAATCAGCCTTAAGGCAACAGAATTTAGTGTTCCGCAAGTTTTAGTATGCATTTGTTAACTTATTTGTAAAATATTTAAAAAATACTAACATTTAAACGGATTTAAAGTTTTACGTGCGTATACGTATGTATGAAAAACGCAACAGTGGAAATCAGCCTTAAGGCTAGCAGAATTTAGTGTTCCGCAAGTTTTAGTATGCATTTGTTAACTTATTTGTAAAATATTTAAAAAATAGTGAATAAAATACGTCGATATTTTCTCCGTGTTGTTGTTTATATAGCTTGGCGAAAGTTGTATTGATGAGTCGAAAGATAAAGTATGCATTGAGTATACAGCTATTTTTATAGTCCCTGTCTACGTCCATATCAGGTAAGGTATAAAATATTTCATCGACGGCCGGGCAAGCACGTAGTAATAAAGGGTCTAGATGGGGATATCTGAAAATCAGTAAACGGTAAAAATTTTTGTATTTTAACGGTAAAATTTTTGTATTTTAACGGTAAAGTTTTTGTATTTTAACGGTAAATCTTTGAAAAGTGTTCTGAAACGATAAACAGTATGTTTTTCCTCACGCTTCACGGTAAATTTTTAGTGTTTTCACGACTGACGGTAACCGAAATTGAGTGAATCACGACTCACGATATTCCTAATCAACACCCTAGTAATAGGGAGCATTGTAATTGTTTTGTGTCTGTTACATTCGTGAGCCATAAAAATTCCTCGTCGCCAGAATGTGGTGTATCGCGCCACATTTTTTATCGTTTCAGACAAAAGATATCGAGTTCACTAGTCCAACATTGTTTTATCGACATTGTGGACGCAATGTGAACTGCCCTCGATGATCATTGAAAAGACACTATAAATAAATGTAATTTCTCTTACCACTCAATGCAGCTGCAACAATTAAACTGCAGTTGTTAAAGTATGGTAACAGATGTAACGCTGGGTAGGATGATATGTCGTTGGAAGTGTCTTCTTTATTGCTATCTTGAATGATTACTGACAGTTGTGCTGATGTACCAATATTGAGCACTAGAGGAAGAGAAATATATATAGTACGTTATTACCCGGCTGCATGCGAGGTCTTTGCTAAAAATGCTTTCATATAGTCTGAAAAGTGCCCGGAGGTTAATGGAGACAATCAGTAAAACCCGATAAGGCTACGATTTTACTAGTTTTTTTCCGTACTTTTATCATAAAGCTCGTTTTCAGCTGAAAAACTACAGGTCACATTCAATTGACGAGGTGGTTGTACGTCCTTACCCTTACACCTATAACAATCTTTCATTCAATTGACGAGATGGTAGAAATCGTTACACTTCAACCTATTCACACGCTATCAGTAATGTTATTGATTAGAATTCCTCCACACACCGTTAAACCACACAACGTTAGGTTGTGCCTTTCTTAGTGTTTGGCAAAACCACAGAATTGTTTTGTAAAACAATTGCCCCGCCCCATGTGTACCTGGAACGGAAGCCATTTTGTTTTTGTCCGGAGGTGAATATTGCAAGGATGTCCGGAGCCGAACAACCAATCAAATTGCGTGAAAAGCAATATCCACCTCCCGAGCAAATACTGTCCAACATTATTTGTTATATGGCAAGGCGGTCCGTTTGCAAAATGCAGCGTTTTGATTGGTTCCTCAGCGAGTGATCGGACGGTAACCTGCAGTACAGACCTGAAAGGAGAACTCTTGTGACGTCATCGCCTGCTTCTTATTAAAGGTATTATTTAAGAACAATTTGTTTTGGGACTGGAATTGCCCTTTACATTAAGTGGTAAGCTTTATTAACTGTGGTTTTATGTAAAATATATGAATATTATACTCCAGTTTGTGTTAAATTTGTAATGCATAAACGACGTACAGATTGAGAGTGACACACTGACACTGTACGTATACGTACGTAAAAAAATCCGAAGTGATTCGTGGAGTTTCAATCAAGGAGTTTTCAAGATTTTCAAGGGCCGTGGACACCCTGGTTTAAAACTCAACCCAAGATTGAGTTAACCTCCGTTTACCTCAGTTGGTGTGTAGACAAAGCCCTGCATCCTATAGACAAAGTCTAAAACATACAGTACATACCAGCGTACGTAGGTTGAGCATGAGTAGCTAGTATTGAACATTGCATGTCTCCTAGACCAACTCTAACTGTTGCATTCGACTGAATATTATGCCAGGTACGTGACAGTTGACCAACAATATATCCGGGCGGGACAATCGTAGGTAAAAGGTGCACTGGGAAATTTGCTGACTTTAATCTAGTCCATCAGGTAAAAAAATCATAAGTAAGCATACAATAATTATATTCTGGTGGTTTCAAACAAATACAGTGGAATATGCAGTAACACTGTAAATGGATGCACCTCAATGCACCCTACTTTATTATTTTAGTCTGTCTAATGACAGATAATTTTACTCATCAAGTCTGGCACGTTAACAGCTTAACCATGGGTTCCTGTTTTGTTAACCTATGAAACTGCAATGCAACCTATGCTCTGTCAAAGGCCTAATAAATCCTAGGGGGATGAATGACAATTCAGGGTGCGATCATTTTCAAGGTACGCCAATATTACAGTCTGGTACTTCTTTGTTCTCAGCGACATACCCCAAAGGTACAAGAAACTCTTGCTGTCTGTTTACTTACTTTTTGTTGGTACCACATGACCTTTCCACGCCCAAGGTAATGGTAATCAATACCAGAATTTACTGTAGTTGGTATATCATGTGTCTGAGATGTTTTGGCATGAAATATAATGATTGGACTGATGGCACTAAGAAACGTAGGAGTCGATTGTTTGTATATGCAATTGTGCTTCTTTTTCTACCTCGTAGTCCGAAACCTTTCAGAAACCTGTGCATTATGAACCTTATTGTAATGACTAAGTACACATTGAGCACTGAGTTTGTTTGTGCAAGTACATGGCAACAACTTCAACCATTGGCGTACCAGTCACGTACAACTAAAATATCTTGAATTATTGCACCCTGTGTACCCCATTTTTTCAACACATGTAATGTGATCTACGATATAATAAATTACATCTGATGGTGCGGCTCTGTTCCCTCACAGGACCATACACAGCAGGGGCAACTGCCCCTATAAAAAGTTCAATTTTTATAACATTTACAGCTGTAATGTGAAGTACTGTACATGCATACAACTATCTGAAAAATATAAGCAGAACTTCAACATATATTTTTTCAGGTAGCAGTACATCCTTATATACAGCCATTATACGACAAGGATGAGCTAAAAAACCAGTTAGTATTAATACCTAAATGATGTTCAAATTCTGGCCTACACACGTAAAAATCTCACAACTTGTCAACAACTGAAGATGTGTTCGCAACAGGCTTGTAGCAAGCTTGTCAACAAGCTGTAACAATGCTGTTATTTTATCAAGTTCCTACAAGGTTGTCACTCACAACTTGTTGACAAGTTGTTGATGCAGGATGATAACAAGTTGTTGGAACAACTTGTAACAAGTCTGTTGAGCTCAACAACCTTGTAGCAAGTTGCCAACAAGCCGATGACAACTTGTCAACAAGCTGGGTACAAGCAGTGCAAACACATCATGTTAACAAGTTGTTGGAACAGCATTGCTACAACTCTGCTGCAGGTTTATGCATGTAGTCAATCATCATGACAGCGGCATCAGCCTCTGGAATTTAGTTGAAAATAATCACAGAAGTAAGACACATTTAAAATCACTCCAAGAAATTCATATAAAAAATATAGCGACTGAGCGACTGCCCCCAAGCATTTGTGATTTTTGTAATGTCATTATTTGTTGTTATTCTTTGGTTAGGGACGGACCACAAATAGATTTGGTCCTGCTTCATGGACTTGTTCTGCAAATGGGGAGCACAGAATCCGCAATTGCAAAATAATCGGGAGGAAAAAAGACTTAACGTTTTAATAGATTCACTAGCATCACTTTATACCAACAAACCTGCACAAAAAAACCCACCAAAAATAGCATGCCACAATGCCTTGAAAATTGAAATATTTTGATTGCTGAAATAGTGAGCGGGTATTTACAAGTCGCTCCACACTGTTCATGTTCAAAACAAACGTTAGTTCAGAATTGCGATCAATGTCCGCTCATTTGTCCCGAGAGGATATTTTTGCATAATTTCCGAAAATATATTTACTCAGTTGTGTGTTTCATTTACAGATTGTTTTTAACTGCTGAACAATGGGGAATATTGCTATTTCAGTTGCTGACAGTCGCATTGTTCTAAATTAAAACAATATTCAATTTAATTTAAGCAATGTTCATGTAACAAATGAGAGTGGTGATGAAACACTATCTTTGATAAATGGCTGAATAAAAGCCAAATATAGTTTGTGAAACAAGACATTTGACTGGCCCGCGATGGGGGCGGGGTCAGAACCTAGCGGGACAAAACCTATTTGTCGACCGTCCCTTACTTGGGTATAGTACATGTAAACATCCTGTGCATGTTTTGCAAAGAATGCTGTCTGGCCAGGGTATATACTACCCCTTGTTGAGGAAAAACTTGTGTACAGCTCTGCCCAGCTGTCCCCTTTTTGGAATGGCAAACAGCACCTACTTTTCGATTTCCCACTCCTTGTTCTCGATATTATAATAACCCCAACTGCAAGCGTTCTGTGTTGAAATATACACCTGGCTTGTACCACATAGATAAGAAACAACTAAATCCATGATAGTTCCCGCATGGTCAAATCTATCGATGATCTTGGGCTGATGTCTTTGTAACCAAAATAGAGTAACACAACCAAATCCGGAAGCTAGTGGCAAATTTGACTTTGGCAAAGAACTTAAAAATTCATTTGAACAACGTTGGTCTTCCCAAGTTATTAGAGATGAAACCCCAGTTTGAATTAAATTATCTTCAGCGAAATTTTCGATTGTACAAATGGATTCACCGTTCCACAATACACAGCCATGCATTTGTCCACAAACGACAATATCTTTTACAAGCTTGCTCGTGTCGTCTGGCAATAATTTTATGCACCTATCCAAAGCTACAAGCAATTCCTGCGCACTTTGTTCGCGCCAGTTCATCGTATTTTTCTCCGATACAACCTCAGCACGATGTTCAATTGTATTCTGCGCTACAATCAATTCACTTGTGTTACACATAAGAGCAGTTTTTATACTGCTTGTTCCAATATCAATTCCCAATGTTAGTGATCCACTTGCTTGGCCGTCCATGTCCATCTTGATTCTTGATCGCATTATTAATCCCCCCCCCGGACTATACAGGACTTGCGGAATTTCCAATATCCTCCCCCCCCCAGGAAACCAGAAAATGAAAAAGGAATGTCCAATTTTTACGGAAATTCCACAGGGTGACAGGGTAGGTAAATTCCACAGGGTAGGTCTCAGAACTTATTGAATTTCCATGGGATGGTCGACAATGGACGACTTGCGCTTTAGAAAAATTTTTAAGCACTAAGCTGAACGCGAACATGCATAAAACATTGACAAGAGTGCATATATTAAACATTGATTTATTAAGAAATTAAACTGATCTTTGTAAAGCGCACAATTTTCTGCTCTCTTGGGAATTTAAAACAGCTTCTTAATTAAACGGTTTCTTCACCCATAGAATTACTTACGTCAAGCTTTGATGTACGTGTGGGTTCAGCAGAGCCTGAGGCATTCAAATTCTAACATTACGTTATTTCAATAGTTCAGTTCGTTTTTTGGGGACACCCTGTATAATTGTTCAGGCATGTTGTAAAACATGGACTGGACCTTGGACTGGACTTGTAAACTATGGACTGGACTTGTAAAACATGGACTTGTAAAACATGGATACGTTATTTCAATAGTTCAGTTCGTTTTTTGGGGACACCCTGTATAATTGTTCAGGCATGTTGTAAAACACTGGACTTGTAAAACATGGACTTGTAAAACATGGACTTGTAAAACATGGACTTGATCTTCGAGCGAATTTATTATCGATGATATGTTTCTCTATATCAGTACACCTATATAGAGAAACAGGTAAAAATACACAAATTATTCTGTTGTGCTCGCTTGGCCCGGCTTTCCTCCCACCTTATTTTGCCCCGGGACTGGACAGACAATAACGAAATAGATTGGACCGAGTCAACATAATTAAACTTCGGAGTTCGGAAATATTTAATCTGTGTTAAATAGCTTTTTAACTAACATTTTGACAAAAAAACTTCCACTATTTGCATGGCATGCATTTTCTATCACAGCTAAAATAAAACAAAAGTTATTCCGAATAAGGAGTGCATAATATTAACACACAATTTATTAAAACTGTATATTTCGAATCTAAATCAGATTCATCTTCAGCAGTGTTTTGCAAGATATGTCGTTATCGGCCGGAAAAGGATTCTATCACAGCTAGAATGTTGTAATTATATAAAACATGAATTTCGATAGACATAGTTCACTAACTAAACAAAACAAAACGAAACTCATAACAAAGCATTTCATTGTCCTTAGTGCCTAGCAAATATTATTGGTATCCATTATCAAATATTCAATCGTATCCGTGTGAAAGGAAAGCTCGGCTGTAGTAATGTCCGCAAACGGAAATTGCCAACACAGTCAATCACGAGTTTCAGTCAATGATTGTCAAGGCCATTAGAGATCGAATTTTTGCGATTGAACTATTATTGTAACTGTTCAAAATTTGATCATTACGCTAGGGAGGAGGTCAAGGGCAGTATTTTCCCGACAAACTCAATTGGAAAAAATTATCTCTCCTCCCCCCCCTCGACAACTTTTTTGCTAACAAAATTTCAGTTCGGACAAGAACGTTACAATTGCCTTCGTAGCACTTTTTCCGAACTAGCACTCGGCGGGCCTGCGTATATGCAGGCATGCTTGACCGACGAAGATTCCGACATTACTAATTTTCAGACGGGTCTCAACAATAGGGGGGGGGGGCATGCCCGGCCCAGCCACGTCGCCACTGGTTGGTACAAAAACAGGCGGCTTACGATAAATATCCCTCCGTGCATGTACACTATATATAATAGTGCGGTGTCAATATTGCAAAACAAATAATAATAAAGACTCCCAGCCATGCAATATATAAAATTTTTATGATATTTTCTAAAAATTCCAATGCTGTATCCAGCATAAATATACCATTCAGGGCACTATGAAAAAAGTTATTTGTTGTCTTCCTTTAACCCAGTTTTACTAAGATGTTTAACAACGTCAACCCAATTCCAGCCGCGTTCTCGTTCTCCTTTACAATTTGTTCGCTCTGCTATTTTTCTTTTTTGTTGTTTTGTTAACTGGACTTTCTTTTCCTTTGTTGGTTTATTATTAACTTCACGACGGTCTGTCGATGTGAGGAGAGCTTCTTCTGTCTAAGAAAAATATTATATTTTTTAGCCACACATTATCGATCATAACTGGATACTACAGTTATGACACAAACAATTTTAAACTATGATAGGTCAGAATGATGATATGGACTTGAATAACTTAGATTCTGCACTTCACTTGGTGGAATTAATATTAGGATGTTAGGGTTTGTAATCCAAGTGAGAATATATACATTTTAAGACCTAACCAGGAACGACTGCGAAAAATGCAGCACAAGGTCCTCTGGTAGGAATTGAACCTACGGCCCTGCAATTCCGGTGCAGCGCTCTAACCAACTGAGCTACAGAGGCCAGCTGTTGAGCTGCAACCGTAAGTTCATGTATATATAGGTAATCGGGTGTGCGGGTTGTGATAAGGTGGACTTGAATAACTTGAATCGCAGGGCCGTAGGTTCAATTCCTACCAGAGGACCTTGTGCTGCACTTTTCGCAGTCGTTCCTGGTTAGGTCTTAAACATCCTAATATTAATTCCACCAAGTGAAGTGCAGAATCTAAGTTATTCAAGTCCACCTTATCACAACCCGCGCACCCGATTACCTATATATACATGAACTTACGGTTACAGCTCAACAGCTGGTCTCTGTAGCTCAGTTGGTTAGAGCGCTGCACCCTGAGCTACAGAGGCCAGCTGTTGAGCTGCAACCGTAAGTTCATGTATATATAGGTAATCGGGTGTGCGGGTTGTGATAAGGTGGACTTGAATAACTTGAATCGCAGGGCCGTAGGTTCAATTCCTACCAGAGGACCTTGTGCTGCACTTTTCGCAGTCGTTCCTGGTTAGGTCTTAAACATCCTAATATTAATTCCACCAAGTGAAGTGCAGAATCTAAGTTATTCAAGTCCACCTTATCACAACCCGCGCACCCGATTACCTATATATACATGAACTTACGGTTACAGCTCAACAGCTGGTCTCTGTAGCTCAGTTGGTTAGAGCGCTGCACCGGAATCGCAGGGCCGTAGGTTCAATTCCTATGTATATATTCTCACTCAGAATGATGATACTATTTCTAAATATGGTAATGATGGAAGTTCAGATACATTAATGAATTATGCAATATCAATACAGATCATATTAAATAATGTGACAATTTTCGTAATATATCTGGTGACAACTTTCGGAGTGTCTATTGTTTTGTGTCTTATCAATCATATTCAGTTGGACGACTTGCGCTTTAGACTAAATTTTAATCTGAGTAAGAACAACGAAATCTATCACCACAGCTAGAAAGAGCGTCTTGGAATTAGTAATATTACAAAGTTTGGTTGCGAAATGTTGTAAAATACGGAAAATATAGCCCTTCAAAGTTGGCAAATTTGTATACTTTTGTATTACGTGCGTGAATTGGTAACTAAATTAGTTACCAATTTCCGCACGTAATAGAAATGTATACAAATTTGCCAACTTCGCAGGGCTATATTTTCCGTATTTTACAACATTTCGCAACCAAACTTTGCAGTTTTTCTAATTTTGATAACTTCTTTCCGAAAATATCCTTTGTTATTCCCAGATTAAAAACTTTTCTAAAGCGCAAGTCGTCCATTTAATTAGTCGCTGCCCCGTTGGGCAAATGCAGTTAAGGGTCCAAAAAATGACTCGTACCCAAGACCTTTGCCTTATGGGGAAATTGTACAGGACACCAGGGGAGCGGGGGGGGGGGGGGGGGGG